AGGGTATAAAAATACAGATTCTTGTTTTTATACAGACCTCACATTAACACACCACCTCCCTATTTCGGTTACCGCATCCATAAATAAACAAATACATTATAACACTTAAAATATCCCACCCACATTTTTCACAGCCACTCAGTAAAACACATCATTTGGCGTTTTCACTGTCAGGGTCAATATCATTCACAATAACCCGACAGCAGTTAGTTGACTGGCTGAATGCATCTGGTCCCATTGTTCACAAGAGTACCCCCTTCATCATTCTCTCACGTCTTACATCAATCTTTCAGCTAAGGAAAACAAAAATCAACCCAAATCAACATTTGCAATATTTTGTCAAACAATTTTCGTGTTAATCTCTCATACATATGTCTATACGTACATAGATGGATGTATGTATGTATGTACTACACTCATGATGACCTTAAGTGAAAGTCATTTTCCTCTTTCCTCGCTTGTTTGCTATTTTATAGCATCGTACGAAACGAATCGGATGCCTTTTATAGTATAAGTAAAGCGAGCTTAAAGACACTGTGGAAAATCAACAGAGGAACAAAATTTGTTTTTGTTTTTTTATATTTGAAGAAGAAGAACAACAATTATTTCTAACGCTAACGCTGACCTCGAAACAGCAATGTTTTCCCACTTGCTGGCTGGTTGGCCGGCTATCTTTATTGAGTTCACAAATATTTTCATCATTCGAAATTTCGTTGGAAAGCAAAGAAAATTCAAACAAGTACTCATATTGAAATTATTTGAAAATTGGATAGAATGTTTATTTATTTTCAAACGCTAAAATGTGTTATTGAGGGGTTATACATATATTTACAACATGCAGAAGGAAGCGAGATAGGCTCATAGTTTCTTTTGAGGATCTTAATAGAATTAGATTGTCTGTCCGTCCATCCATGTAGTTTTTTGAACAAAATACAGGCCGCATTTATTATCCGATTAAGATGAAATTTTCCGAACAATATTTGTTTGACCCAAGGACGAACCCTATTGAAATTGGTGCGAATCGGTACAAATTTAGATATAGCTCCCATATAAATCTTCCGCCGATTTCGGGTTAATTGTACACCAAATAACTAATATCAATCCAAAAGTCCTGAACCGAATTCAGTCTAGAAGTAAGTAAATCGATTTCGGAGAAAATCCGTTCAGATATAGCTATAGCTTCCATATATAGGTTTCATCCGATTTGGTGTTTAAGTTCACACATTCGTAATATGCACTTAACAAGAATAATGTTTGATAACAGATATCAGATACAGCCCAGAAATATCTGCTAGGTTGTATCAGGATCTGTTAAGATTTAGATATAGCTCCCATATCAATCTTCAACCGATTTCGCGTTAATTGTACACCAAATGACCAATATTAATCCAAATTACCTGAATTTTGGAAATTATGACTTAATACATCCTAGAAACAAGTACTTCAAATTTGATGAAAATCGGTTCTGATGTGGCTAAATCTCCCATATATATATATATATAAATATATATATATATATATATATATATATATATATATATATATATATATATATATATATATATATATATATATATATATATATATATAAATATATATATATATATATATATATATATATATATATATATATATATATATGTATATCAATTTTATTGAATGAAAGCAAAAAAATATCGAAAATAGTAAAAAATTTTAGAATAAGTTTCGATTTGTTCGAATTGGTCCCCTTTGCCTCGAATTATGGCCCTCAAACGGCCAATGGAAGCGTCACACGCTGCCCGAATGTTGCTCTGTGGCATTTTGGCTCATTCCCGGCGAAGCACTTGCTTGAGGTGATCCACGACACTTTGGTATTATTTAGTGCCAACCTTGCTTTCCAAAATACTCCAGACACAATAGTCCAACGGGTTGGTATCCGGAGATTTTGGCGGCCATCGTGCGCTGGAAATGAAGCGAGGAACCTCATATTTTAACAATTTCTATTTCCGACATTTTTTGCTTTCATTCAATAAAATTTAAAAATATATATATAAATTAGTGCGTTTGACTTTGTTGCAGTTTTTTATCTCACCCTGTATATTAGGCGTCCATAACTAATAAAAGTTCATCCCGCCAAAAGTATTCAAAATTACGAAGTCCTAGCATAATTGTCCAGCTTATTTGAATATAATTTAGATTTATTCGACTTGAAAAGTACAAAATGTTCAACCCAGCCATATTTCCCGATTCAAACTTTTCCCATGACAGTTTGTCCATTTTGTGGTCTTCTATTTATTATCATAACAAAGTAAGTATAACCTTCATTCGTAGTTGGATGTACACTGACTGCAATGTCAAAAAAAAAACACACAAATCACGGTTCATTGCAAAAGTTTAGAACAAATAAAAAACAACTTCAACAACGGTTTTTATAATTCTCAGTTTGTAATTTTCAAGAACATATTACCTGTGTATATTAAAACCTTGTCTTTTTATTTTTCTTGCAAAACTTCACTCACACAAACACATACATGTAAATTCACTTCCGGTTTAAGGGGAAACTTTGTAGTGATTTTCGTTTAAAATATAATACCTACACACCGCAATTTCTTAATTTTTATTATATTACATTTAATTTAACAATATTTTGTTGGTCAACTAAGACAAACCGAAACTAATTTAGATTAAATGATGTTAAAATTATTTTATCTGTTGGTAACGTAGCGACTGACGTCTAAAAACAGAATGAATAACTTCCCATTTGTCTGCATCTTTACAATTCTGTCATTCTCTGTTGAGCTTCGTTGTTGCATTTTGTTGTGTTAAAATGGTTAGAGAGAATTTGGAGCCTAGAATGTGGAAGAGAGCACAAACTCCATATGGTCCATTGGGATTTAAAACTCTCTGCAGTTTTTGTTTTTTTTTTTTAGTGCAGGCACTTTTGTTATTATATCAGCCGTTACATTTCCTCATTCTCCTCTTCGGTGTTGCTTACTTTGCGGTTTTAGAGTATTAATTAATCGTTTAATTTTAATATAACCGTTCCATTTTCAAAAAAATAAAATCCGTTAAAAATTCTGTTAAAATCATAAACATACCGAATGTATCCGTTGTATTGGGGTATATACGACGACGTAGACCTGCATAGGCAACATTTGTCATAAGCCATTAAAATATTCAAATGCGAAACTTAAAAAAATTAAATTACCGAATGTAGTTACCATGGGGGCTATACGAAGAGTTGGACCTGCACAGACACTTTTCTGTCTAAGGCTGCAGTATCTACTACGAACTTCAAATACCAAATTTGAAGCGATTCTAGTGATTAATGTCGCTAGAATCATCAAAATACCGAATGTCGGGAGGTACCGTTATATGGCGGCTATACAAAGACGTGAACCTGCACAGACAATTTTCTGTCATAGGTTGTAATATCCATCACGAACTTCAAATTCCAAATTTGAAACAATTCCGGTGAATAATGTTGCTAAAGTCATCAAAATACCGAATATCGGGAGGTGCTGTTATATGGGAGCTATACGAAGACGTGGACCTGCACAGACACTTTTCTGTCTTAGGCTGTAGTATCTATTACGAACTTCAAATGCCAAATTTGAAACATTTCCGGTGAATAATGTCGCTAAAATCATCAAAATACCGATTATCGGGAGGTGCTGTTATATGGGAGCTATACGAAGACGTGGACCTGCACAGACACTTTTCTGTCATAGGCTGTAATATCCATTACGAACTTCATATACCAAATTTGGAACAATTCCGGTGAATAATGTCGCTAAAGTCATCAAAATACCGAATATCGGGAGGTACCGTTATATGGGGGCTATACGAAGACGTGGACCTGCACAGACAATTTATGTCTAGACTGTAAAATCCATTACGAACTTCAAATACCAAATTTGAAACAATATCCGGTGAATAATGTCGCTAAAGTCGTCAAAATACCGAATATCGGGAGGTGCTGTTATATGGGAGCTATACGAAGACGTGGACCTGCACAGACACTTTTCTGTCTTAGGCTGTAGTATCTATTACGAACTTCAAATGCCAAATTTGAAACATTTCCGGTGAATAATGTCGCTAAAATCATCAAAATACCGAATATCGGGAGGTGCCGTTATATGGGGGCTATACCAAAACGTGGACCTACATTTTCAATACTAAAAGTCCTGCAGACATAATATTTGAGTGAAATTTTATTAACCTACTCCATTTTGTTCGGAAGCTAGAATGTTTTCCACAGACGGACAGATGGACGGTCATAGCTAAATCGACATAGAATTGAATGCTGCTCAAGAATATATATACTTTGTGGGGTCTAAAATGTATATTTCGAAGTGTTATAAACGGAATGACAAACTTCCTATACCCTCCATACTATGGTGGAGGGTATAAAAATGGAAAAATATACATGTGCGACTCTCTGCCCGGCCCTGTTTTAATATCCAAAACAATTAGACGCAAGATACAACATCGCCATACCCATAAACATAACCGCAATCAGATTTCATTTCATCGATCAGCGGTACCATAACCATAAACAGCTTTTATTTATATATGTAGGAGCAATGTGAGACTATCTTAGTGTTCCACCCGATTAGCAATATGAAGACATCACCACAGATACAGCCAAATGTGTAAAATCCTAAACTGAATAGGCACCATTCTATACCATTCTTTATAGCTATGCGGGTGGGAGCCAATGGAAGTGAAAGTGGTGGTAGCATTTTTCCTGTAATGAGATTTGGAGAAGATTTTTTTGGAATATCGCCTGCCACTACCATCTCTCTAGCCCTCTTTCGTTCACATTACAACTCTTCCCACATTATTTCATGGAAGATTGTATTTTCCCTTAAAAAAAAGCTATTAAAGAAAATACCCTTGGGATTTTAGTGACAAGTTCTAAGGACAAGAGTGGAATTCCAACCAAAAAATGCCAAAAAAAAAAAACTCTTCTGTTAGGAAACTACTTTACATTAAAAATTACTATATTTCAAAATTCATATTCCACTGTATTTAATTCTTAAATTTAATAGGTTATTACATATATAATGTAGTAGTGGTTCATTTTATGACTATATTATTTGTACTTTGATTTCAGCATCAGAGATAATTTCTATGAATATAATTACAATGCATTATAATTAAATATTTTTTTTTTTTTTTTTTTCATTCCCGTTGGTCTTCGTCAATCTGCGCCTGCATAACAATATCCGTGCAACGACGAATCACAGCAGCTTGGGTGGATTTTTTCATTTTTGAAATTGCCGAGCATATCATTGTACCAAAACCGCATATCTCCAAACTAAATTCTTCTCGGTGTGCCTTTCGTGTAGATATTTCCTGAAATGTTTTTACTGTCTCCCCTATAGTGGTGTCCATTTCGCCAAGCTGTAGAGAGGACTTTCGCTTTTTTATCCGTGACGTTGATGGCCAAGACTTAGTGGGCGAAATTGAATTTGATTGCATTGGAAACGTTGAAGTTGATTCTTCGGAGTCAAGTTGAACAGATTGCACAGGTAAAACACAAGATGATGACGACGATTCGTTAAGAATATCTGGTTTAATGTCGGTTTTCAATATTGGGGCACTTTGTCGCATGCTGTAAAAAAATATATACTTTCTTGACAAATTATGAATCTTAATACTAGTTTATTTACTAACGGTCGGGAGATAATATGACTTCGTAGAAATTGCAGACTTTCTAATAGGGCCCACTGCTTTCCACTTACAGAGGTGTTTTGCGGATTTCGTATCTCCTTGCTGAATCGCTCCCTCAAATTTCCCCAGCGTTTCATAGCTATAGTTTCTATTTACAATACAGGCATTTAGTTAATATTTTAAAACCAAAATAATGTTACATTTACCATCAACGTCCAAATTATTGGCAACTTCAATCCAAGCTCGTCTTTTTTTCTCCCTATCCTTGAAGTCTTTGTGAGTTTTGTCATACAGGCAAGGACAATTTCGAACAGACTCAATTAGCTTTTTGTCATCCATTATCTGGAAAAATATTCAAAGAAGTGTGAACAGAAGTGCAGGCGAAAATGTTTATGTTTAAACTTACCAATATCAGAACACAATAGAATAATTACAAATAAATAAACAATCGTTTGCTCTGTTATGGTTACGGCAGAAAACTAAAGTTCAATTGATGTCTATGTCCGTGGCCATGGCGTTATGGTATGTCTCCATTATACATTATTCAATCCACCACCATAAGATTGGTTTGAACAGCTGTTATATATGGTTATGGTTATGAATGCTTAAGGCTCTATTAGACGAAATGTTTTCAAATTTGCACAAATCGTGTAGTCCATGGATGTCATTTCACTTATGATCCTTAAAGACTGGCTTAAAATGTTTATGTTTAAACTTACCAATATCAGAACACAATAGAATAATTACAAATAAATAAACAATCGTTTGCTCTGTTATGGTTACGGCAGAAAACTAAAGTTCAATTGATGTCTATGTCCGTGGCCATGGCGTTATAGTATGTCTCCATTATACATTATTCAATCCACCACCATAAGATTGGTTTGAACAGCTGTTATATATGGTTATGGTTATGAATGCTTAAGGCTCTATTAGACGAAATGTTTTCAAATTTGCACAAATCGTGTAGTCCATGGATGTCATTTCACTTATGATCCTTAAAGACTGGCTTAAAATAAAATGATAGTCGAGAACTACAAAACTAATAAGATATGGAACGTCGAAAATAATCTATTATTTATTACATTTGTAAAATAAATATTATTTTAATTTTTATTGAGTACTTCAGATAAGGGTTGCCATATTCGATTTAGAAAATTTGTTTTACTATGGAACAAGTAAAATAGTATCAGTAGGTTTTTCCGACAGACGTATATCCCCAGCCTTGAGTTATGATTATTCAAACTGTTCACTCTTTATGAGGTAAGTTCCGAATCAGTTGGCCAATATTGACCAACTCGTAGATTTTGACTATATCGACTACTTCCTATACTTTGCATGAGTTATGTTTGGAAAATTTGGAAATATGTGTGAGGTAACAGATAAAGCAGACCGAAGTATTCCGTTTTTATACTTCATCTAAAACAGATAAAAATATTGTTATGTGCCAAATTTGAAGGAAATCGGACATTTATATCCAATTTTATGCAAAATCATAAATTCCGATAAATTACATATTCGTATCAGATTTCTGCTTAAGAGAAATATATAGCAAGTAGTAAAGAATCGACGATTTGTTCCGCAAGTTGTGACAGATATAAGTAATGGAAATTGTGACCCTCTGACGGTGAGGTACCTTAGGGGTTGGCAGATATATAACATCTTCACAACAGATCTCGCGTCAGCAAAAATACTTGGAAATTAGAAGAGAGTTGGATACTTATTTCGTTCTCTCTGAGCGTTTTGTTTGTTCAAAAATCTGGAACCTTTTGTGGGGGCAGATACCAGAAGAAATAGAACGATCTCTTACATCTTTATAACAGATCTTGTGTTAATGGAAGTATTGAGATGTACCAAGTCTGAATGGAATCGGATGTTAATTTCGCGTTTTCTAAGCTTCATGGATACTCAACATTTTTCCCCTTTGTGGGGGAAGTACCAGAAGGAGTGGAGTCGATATATTCCATCTTCACAGCAGACCCTGTGTTAGTAGAAATAATGGGATGTGTGAAATATGAAGAGAACCGGATGCTTATTTCGGACTTTATGATCGTTTTTGTTATTCAAACCTTTGACACTTTGTGGGATATGTACCAGAAGGAATGGTCCCATCTCTACCATCTTTATAACAGATCTTGTGTTGATGGAAATATTGAGATGTACCAAGTCTGAATCGATATATTCCATCTTCACACCAGACCTTGCGTTAATTAAAATATTGTGATGTGTGTAATTTAAAGACGGACATTTGCATCACATTTTATGAGAGTTATAATTATTCAAAATTTTGACCCTTTGTGTGGGAGGTACTGGATGAAGTGGGCCGATATTGTCCACCGATTTTAAACTACATTTCTTGTTGTACCATAAGTCTACCCATTCAAAATGAATTCATTTATTTTTTTGTCTGTGTATTGTAAGCTAATCTGGCAACGTCCACTTTGACATGGCAACACTGTTAAAGTGTGGCAGCAACAACTGTCAATTAACATCTGTTGTTTTTATTCAAACGCCAAACAACACAACACGTGTTTATTGGGAAAAGTTGGATATTTCCGAAAAAATATAATAATTTAGTTAATTAATAAAAACGAATCAACATGGGTCGTACAAATAAATCCCGTAAGCGACGCGAAGAAAATAGCAAAGCCAAAAAGGCTCGCTATGAAGTCAAGGAATTGGCCCGGCTAAAGAAAACTCTTGGCATAATGGACACAGACGAAGATATGAAAGAAATCGCAGAGGTGGCCACGGTCAAAACTGCCAAAGAATTGAAAATGGTAATTTATTCCTATAATAAGAAGAATTTACAATAATATTAAAGAATTACATTTTCCCCATATCGTAGGAAAAGAAAACAAAAGAAGAGGAAGAACTGACCCATGAACTACAGGAGCAACGTGAAAAAGGTGAAAATGTCACCGTTGTCAATGAGAAAACTGGCAAGGTTCATGTCTACAATACAAAGACTCTGAAAGATCAACATGGTTCCTATCCACCGTGGTATAAACCCAAGAAAACAGCCAAACGTATACGCAAGATTAATCATTCCCGTATGAAGCGATTCAAGCAAACATGGACTGTAACAAATGTCCCACTCTAATTTTCTCTGGGGTTTTTCACGACGCCATTCATCGTTTTACCATTAAGCTGTGAATAGTGAATTTAGATTGTAAGTTTATTTCTTCTATTCAACACCGTTAAATGTTTATGGATTTTATAAACGTTAATTTCCATAAGGGTTTGAAATAATTTTACAAGCAGAAATCATCTTGTTAGGCTAAGCTAATATAATTTATGAAAAAGAAAAAAATACAAATATAAAGATTTGTATTTCCATCCTTTTTATAAAATAAGATATAACGTATCTTGAGTAAATAAATATTGAGACATTAATATGCTAGTATTTTTAGAACTAAGGAAGAGGCGACTTCGACAAGATATGGCCCAGAAATAGGTGCAAATGCAATGTAATTTTGTATCGCGTAGATATGAGCCAGTTACTCGCTGCAGTGGTCTATAATACCTATATGTGGGCTATAATACCACCTATAAATAAGAGTTAGAAATCAATCAGGAAATATGTACCAAAACCTTCGATATTTTTTGCATGGAGGTCTTCTCTTACAGGATTTAACAGATATGACCCATATTTTGTTCCGATATGACCCATATTTTGTTCCAATGATTCTAGATGTAACTAAATGCTATTATTATTGTATATATGTTATTATTTTAAATTCTACAAAGTTCAGAAGCAATATATTGGAGACCCAAAACATGTTTATCCTGGGGACCCAAAACTCTTTTGGGGTACCGACACATTTTATATTTACGTCAGATATATGGTTGATAGAAATATTGAGATACAGGGTGAGATACTTGTGGGTTTCGACCAGCTTCGAATGAAGACAGTCACATATACCGATAACGTAGGGGACTAGTGACTATTACACCAACAATAAGCTATTATGTCAGCTCCTTCAAAAAATCTATCGTCGAATACAGACAATCACATATGCCGATAACGTAGGGGGCTAGAGACTATTATACCAGCAATAAGCTATAATGTCAGCTCCTTCAAAAAAATCTCTAATCGAAGAAGAGGGAAGAAGTTGAAGAAGGGTATTTAAGACCATCTCTCTGGTAATCTTAAGGAGAAGAACAAGTTCTCTTCTATCACTCAGATAATCATATATAAAAATCGTAGAGGATATACTAATTGGTCGCTGCAGTATCAGATGAAACAACAATTTCCCGGACTACTGTAAACTATGTGACGATGAAGAAGAGATAGAGACTAATGAACATCTGCTTTACAGATGCCCCTTGTTATCCAACAAGAGACATAGACCATTTGACAGGTGGAGAATTGAAACTCCAACGTTCTTCTCAGACATAGATCCCCACTATTATTTACAAATTTGCGTAGGGCATTTCCTGGCTGGACAGACCACCCTGCTAACTACACTTTTCTCTATAAATCTTTTCTTCTACCTCTCGCTTCTATATCTCTCCTATCCTTAAAACTATTATTTCTTCTAAGATGAACACAATGGAAGGTCTCCAAGTGAATCAGTTTCTCAATTCGCTCATCTTTAAAACAAACCATGTTGTGAGAGTTATAATTGTTCAAAATTGTGAATTGTGAGGAGGTACCAGAAGGCATGGGCCGGTAAGTTCCTATGTTTTTTCCGTTCCCTTCCATTGTACAAAGTTGAAAAAATCGTCGGAAATTGTTTTGCATTTCATGAGACTTATAGTTATTCAAAATTTGTTTCATTTTATTAGCGTTTTGATTCTATAAAACGCTGAACCTTGTGGGGAAGATCCTGCGCAAAGCTTGAACCAAATCGGATGACATTTTCTTGTTCTATAAGGTAAATTACTTTCTGTGACTATTTTGAGCTTTTATGGAGGAGGTATCAGAAGGAGTGGATCGATATTATCAATTTCCAACTCCATCTGAGTTTGATAGAACAAGTTAGAAAATATCAGTCGAGTTTGCCGACAGACTAATACCCTCAGTCATTGCTCGATTATTTAAATATATTTTGACTTCTGTATGATTATTCAACCTGTTGACCCTCTATGGAGTGGATTCTAAAGGAATGGGCAAATATTGTCTATTTCGTATCGGACCTAAATAAATACGATATAAATATGGGGTAACTTGGTGAAAGGTTGGTAACTTTACATGATACATGTTTTAATTTTTAGAAAATGTTAAAATGGGCATAAAGTACCTCATCTAATACAGATAAAAATATTGGTTTGGGCAAAATTACAAAAAATCGAACATTTATATCCAATTTATAGGAAATCATAAGTTCCATAATCATCTCAGGTTTCTGGTTGAGAGAAATATTTAGATATAGCAAATCGTTGTAAAGAATCGCTGACTTTTTTCGTAAGTTATGACAGATAAAAGTATGGCAAATTATCACCCTTTGTGAGTGAGATACCAGAAGGGTTTCACAGATATATATCATCTTCACAACAGATTTTGTATTAGCAAAAATGTTTGTGTGTGTGAAATTTGAGAAGAGTTTGATGCTTATTTAGCTTTCTTTCAGCGTTTTGTTTTTCACCAGAAGGAGTATATTCCATTTTCACAACAGATCTTGGGTTTGTAAAAGTATTGGGATGTGTGAATTTTGAAGATAATCGGACTCTTACATAACATTTTATAAGAGTTGTAATTTTTCAAAAATTTTATCCCTTTAGGGGGGAAGTACTTGATAGAGTGGACCGACATAGTCCATTTCCGCACCTGACCTATCACTGAGGCAAATATTTGATTGATTTGCAAAGTTGGAGCAAAATCGGATTATTCTTTCCCTTTCTGTGCAAAAAATATATATATATTTTTTTTAAAATTTCGACCTTTTTGTAGGGGAGGTGCCAGGAGTGGACGCATATTGTCCATCTCCGAACTCGATCTACGATGTTCGAAGTTTGGACCAAATCGGATACTCTCTTCGAGAGTTATCGTGCGCACCAGCCAGACAGACTGACGGACATCGCTAGATCGACTCCAAACGTTCTGAAACGAATTTGGTCCAAAGAGATTTAGGGTTATTATTTCGACTAGACACGTTTTGACCGTATCAAATGATATATACGCTCTCTGATATATACGCACATCTGGTTTCAAGTTGGTTTTTTTCGTTCAAATCCATTTTGCGATTAATTATTTGAACCAGTCAATAAACCAGCGTCATAGGCAAACATGTGTAACATTTAAGCTAGAACAAATAAAAGTGCGAGGGTTAATATAAATATCACTATCATTTAATGCAATTACGCCATTCATTGATATTGTGTTGACCCATATTTCTACTGACCATTCGTTCTCAATTGTAAATAGGATTGTAGAAAAAAGCAACAACAACAAATCAAAGAAAAATAACTTGTTTTTCTTTCTAAAAACAAATAAAACAAAAGGCATTTTTTTTGTTTAATTGCTATTAAAAGGGAGCAATGGTGGATACACACATTCTAACAAATATTTATTAAAACTTTACAACATGGAATTGATTGACGATATACACAGCGGGGGGATAAAATATACACAAAAGTGGAAACAACTTAAAAAGCTTATACAAAAAATGTTTTTATCATGTAAGCTTAGTTTGCAAATTGCTCACTCGCACTATTATAAACATAATCTGTAAATATGAACATTGCTAGGTAACTTTATAAAAGACAAATATGTCTTTGTCTTGGTTTAATGTATGACTAATCTATTTATTCAATTGCAACTGCAATAACAACAAATGTCTACTACAGGGTTGGTTGGATTGTAACTACTCCTCTTCTGGAAAAGGTATTGTATTTCAGTTCCCTACCTTGTAGATTTAAAATAATCGAACATTGGAATATTCGTCTGCTTTGTATGTATGTAACTCGCTTGTTTTTTTGTATGTTTGTAATATAATAAATATGACTTAGGAGGCTAATATCAAAAATTAATTGTAAAAAAAACATTAGTTCCATAGTAGAAATTGCAAACACGGCATGGTTATTTGATCTACTGTAGGCTACAATAAGATTTAACACTGCACAATACACCGGTGGTGGCCTGAGCCACTGGGTCCAAACGATTTGCAGTCGTTCCCTGAAAATTCATTAGCTGACGCGTTGCTGCCGACCACACTGTCATTGGTTGATGATGATAATTCTCCATTTGTCAGTCTTCCTTTTTGGTCATTTCAATTTCTTCCTGTGTTTGTTCGGAATTCTCCAATGTTGCCTGCTGTTCTTCTTCAATGTTACCCTGCAGTATGGCGGGATTACTTTTTAAAACACTGCCGCCTGTAAAACCTAAAATACCACATCCCACAGCAGCCAAACCGCCAGCCTTAAGGCCAGCCACCAAACCAATTGGGCCACCAACACAAGTACCCAACAGGGCTCCCATTACAGGGTACATTGCCTTCTTGTAGGACAGTGCTTTGCGTAATGCACTCTCCCCGGCCTGGACATTTTCTAGAGCTTCTTCGGCATTATCTGCTATTGCTTGCACACTTTCGGCTTGCTGGTGAACTAGTTCACCCATATTATGAAACATGCCATTTAAATCTCGTATTTCTTCTTGTAAATTCTGCAATTCCTCAAAACAGGATTGTCGTTGTGCTAAAATGTGTTCCTCTTGTGAGAAATTAGTGCGTATTTCTGGTAGTGTTTGATGATACGCCTGGGTTTGGCCTATTTCAACGGTGTCATTTAAATGTTGTTCCACATCGTCTTCTTCGTAGGGACCTTGGGAGCGTAATGTGTTTGTAGGAGATTTCAGTTGTAATTCTGGAAAAGAAAAAATGGAAATGTTTTATTTTAATTTTTACAACAGATAGCAGTGAAGAAATTAGCCAAATTGCCAAGATAACTTAAAATTCAGATCCTTTCGTGTTGGCAACAAATTCTTTTAGAGATAATTTGGGTTCCAGGGTAAAAATATTACGAAAAACGAAATTTCTGGTTTCAAATAACTTCTTGTGGCATAAAATGGAAAACTGGATGCAAGGTATCCAAGTCTACCTGGCCACAAATTTCGAGAGTACAAACCAATTCTCTTTCCTCACTTAGATAGTCTGAGCTAATTAACCGTAGTATAAGATTTTTATACCCTCCACCATAGTAAGGAGGGTATATTAAGTTTGTCGTTCCGTTTTTAACACCTCCAAATATACATTTTAGACTCCACAAAGTACATATATTCTTGATCAGCATAAAATTCAATGTCCATTAAGCGATCTCCGTCCGTTTGTGGAAATCACTCTAGCTTCCGGACGAATTGAAGTAGGTTGATAAAATTTTACTCAAAAGTATATTATGACTGCAGGACTTTTGGTATTGAAAATGGCCATGTCATTATCACATTTTGGTTTAGCCCCCATATAATGGTACCTCCCGATATTCGGTATTTTGATGAATGGAATGGAACGGAATGGTTTCAAATATGATATTTGAGGTTGGTATTGCATACTACAGCCTAGGACAGAAAATTGTCTGTGCAGGTCCACAAAGATACATCCCTATTTTTGGTATTTTGATGATTCTAGCGACATTATTCACCGGAATTTTTTCAAATTTAATATTTGAAGTTCGTAATGCATACTACAGTCTAGGACATAAAATTTTCTGGGCAGGTCCACGTCTTCGTATTTCCCCCATATAACGTTACCTCCCGTTACATTGTTCACCGATTTTTTTTTCAAGTTTCGGCAAGTAATGGCTTATAACAAATGTTGCCTATGCTCGATATTTTTAAGACTTTAACAGAATTTTAAACGGATTTAATTTTTTTTTAATTGCCAAATTCGTTCCAAATGGCGAGGTGTACTCAAAGTTCGGGCTGGTCCAACTTACAGTTGTTTACTTGTTTCTTTCAAAATAGAATAGCAATAATAGTAAACTGTTTGAATATGAAATAGGTAGATGTCCTATGTTGTCCAGCAGGAGACAGCGATTTTATTTTTTTCTCAAATGAAAAGTTAAAAAGTATCTGTCGATTTTGCCAGATTTTTGACAGATGTACACCTCTATATCCGTTTAATATATGTTGACTTGCATTATAATTATTCAAACTGTTAACCCTTTGCTGGTGTGTTCCGAAGGTAAAGGCCGCTATCTCGCACCAGATCTTGTGTTGGTAGATATATTGGAATGTGTAAAGTTTTGGTTACTTAAAATGTTGACCCCTTTTATAGGGGATGTACCAAAAGATTGAACCGCTATATCCCATCTTCACATTAGATCTTGTATTGATAGAAATATTGGAATGTGTGAAGTTTAAAAAGAATTGAGTGCTTTTTCCGTATTTTATTAGCGCTTCGGTTATTCCAAATGTTGACCACTTTATGGAAGAGGTACCAGAAGGAGTGCATCGATATATCCCATCTTCACACCAGATTTTGTGTTGATATAAACGTGTGAATGAGTAAAGTTTGAAGAAAATTTAATGCTTATGAGAGCTTTGGTTGTTCAAAATATTGATCCTTTGTGGAGGAGGTATGAAAAAGGCGGTCCAATATTGTCCAATAGCACAACTAACCTTGAATTGTAAAAATACTAGGGCTTGCAAATTTGGGACAATATTCGATGGGGCTTTCACTTTTTATGAGCTAAATTATTTTTTTTGGAAATTTTGAACTTTGGAGTGGAAGGTAGCCGAAGAAGTTGAACAATATTGTCCATTTGTAAACTATACCGAATACCTTTTTGACTGTTGCTAACGGATTTGAATAAATGAGTTGTGCGATTTCGCGTAAAATATATTCTTTCATGGCAACCCCAAGACAATTACACACATCTATACAAAAGTATAAACTGACTTGCCCTTATCGACGAGATCATTCAGCTATAAATTTATTGTTAATTATTGAAAAAAAAATAACAATAAGCGGACATTGTCTTACCCAAATATTCTTTCATGCCATCGAATGCCTTTTGTTTCCCCTCCTCCATCATGACATCGAAGCGTTCCAAATCATCATCCCGCACCTTTTCTCTCAGCGCATCCATTTCGAGTAGGAGATTTTTAATTTGTTTTATTACCCGCATGGCATTGATTTCTTCTTTTTTGATTTTGTTCCAATCGCCCAAGGCCAGGCTCTTCTCAATGTTGCTGTGATGGTTTTTCAGCAGGCCCAAATGATGAGGAATGGCCATGTCATTAAATCTTCGCACAGCGATTTCCGCCTGCTTTAAGGGAATTTTGTCAATGGCTGGTGTCATGGTCATAGACAGGTATTTAGTACTCCTTCTCAATTTTTGTTTTTGATTTGAAATGGCTAATAGTTGATTTCTTTAAATCTTTATGGACAAGTCAAGACTGTAAAAAGCTTTGATGTTAAAGTATCCGCTGTTCACATTAAGCAATTACTGCGACGACACAGTCACACAATAATGATTTGATCGATTTCACTTTTAAATATTTTTCCACTTGTTATTGTTCAATTCGCCTTTTGTTTGTCTCCTCCTGCCTTTTTATTGTCCCCTCCAAAGCAATTGTTGTTTTTCTTCTTTTTTGTTTATTTGTTTATTTTATTTTGTTTATTTCGTTTATTTTCCGTGTAATTGCACATTAATTCTTATCGAATATTTTCGTCTTGTATTTTTTCTTTATATTTTGGTATTTGTTTTCTTTGTTTTTGTGTGGTATTCTTTGTTTTTTCGTTGCTTTTTTTCATTTCACATCTCAATAACATAATAAAGTGAAGTTGGCTGTGGTTTAGACATCTGGGTGGATGGACAACAATCAGCTGATGAGTGTTTCCTCTGTGGTTATATACTGACGTATCGTACAGCGTCATTTTCGTACCATACGAATTAAGCAGTAGATTTACACCAAACATATTTTATACCCCCAGTCATATGATTTTCTCCATAAAAAGACAAAAACAAAAGACTTAAGAAGCAAACGCTGATGTATAAAAAATAATCAAATAAAATATTTTCAATATTTTTTATGCCCTTAGCCATATGGCTTAAGGGGGTATATATAATTTTATACGGCCAAATCGAAATAACGGTTTTAGACACTAGGTCTCTTTGACCTAGTCCGTTTCAGGACATTTGGAGTCGATCTAGCGATGTCCGTCCGTCTGTCTGTAGCATCCGATTTGGTGCAAACTAGGTACAAACGAAATTATCAAAAAAAAAAAATACTGTTCAAAGAGAGAAAGGATAGTTGGATGTTGAATACCCATGAAGCTCATAAAAAGCGAAATTAAAATGCGATTCCATTCCAGACTTGATACATCTCAATATTTCCATACTGTGGAATACTGTATTTCCGTAAATGATTCGGTATTTTTGGGATTCTAGAGACAATATTCACCAGAATTTTTTCAAATTTCGTATTTGAAATTCGTTATTGATACTACAACCCATGGTACAATGATATCAAGGTAGGCCTATGATACCATATGATTTTAATTTTTTTTATTTTCTTGGCTTAATATGTCATCTTTATTTGTTTATGTATGTGTTTTCTTTTACTTACAGGCGATATCCGAAGTACACAAAAGGCGAACTTCTGACTTTTTTATGCTGATTTCGTTGACGAATATAGCCAAATATCGTAGACAAGCAAATCATATAGATGAGTGTAAATTTGGAGATACAGAGGAGACTCTTATTTTGGAGATGATCGCAAAATATTTAGGGGTTCAAATGAAGCAAAAATAGAAAAAATTTCCTGATCAAACAATTGAAGCCAATAAACACGCCTGAGAAGAGAGTTAAGGACAGAGAAGAAGTCTAGCATTTTGGATGACCATTGGATTATATTTATCTGTTAAATGGACCACAACAACTAACAGCACGATGAAGTGCGTAAATATTGGACAAATATTCCTGGTCAAAATGCTAAGGGTAATATCTAGGTAGTGTTCCGTGACATAATTTCAAATGTAATGTAATGTTCAGTAAGGTAAAGTCAAAAGTCGCCCCTACAGGGTTAGATAAAAAAAATTACAACAAAGCCAAAACGAATAATTTTTACATTTTTTTTAATTTCATTGAATGAAAGCAAAACATGTCGGAAATAGCATTAAATTTTAGAATAAGTTTAGATTTTTTTGGAATTGGTCACCCTTGGCGCGAATTATGGCCCTCAAACGGCCGATCTTGATAAAATTTGGCAGAAGTAATTATGGGCTGTATTTGATATCTGATATAAAATATCATTCTGTGGAGTGCAGGTCATTTGACTGATATTTGCCATTTGGTGCACAAATAGCCCAAAATCGGTTGAAGATATATATGTGAGCTATATCTAAATTTTAACCGATTCGCACCAACTTCAATAGGGTTCGTCCTTGTGCCAAAGAAATATTGTTTGGAAAATTTCACCTCAATCGGATAATGAATGCGACCTGGATTTTGTTCACATGTACTACAGACGGACGAACGGACTGACATGCATAAATCGACTCAGAAAGTGAGTCTATGAAAATCCTTAAAAGTAACTATGGGTCTATCTCTCTCCCTTCTCTATGCTACAAACAAATGCACAAGACTTAATACCTTTACCACTATGTGATGTAGGGTATACAAATGTATACTTTCCTGGAACCATTTCTTTTCTGCATATTTTGCAAATGCTCATAAAAAAGACGCACAACCATGGTACAAAGAAGAGAAGGTACGTTAACTTCGAAAAAATTGCAAGCAGAATTAGTATCAAAACAATAAAAACACAAACAACTTGTTGCATTTATTTTGAATAAATAATTGAGAACCACAAAAACTGAATGAAAGGTCAAAATTTCTTTTTAAAATCATGTTCTATATATCTCTAAAGGTTTATTTCGCTACAAAAACTGAAGATTGTTTCGATGCATACGTTGAAATCAACATTTTGAAACATTCGAATTTGAATATTTTCTGAACATTTTTTTGTCTTTAAAAAGGAAACACATTCATAAAAAAATATAGTTGACATATTAAGCCAAGAAAATAAAAAAAAAACATAAAATCATATGGTATCATAGCCCTACCTTCATCTTATTGTACCATGCGCACAACTTCTTTTTTAAATATAATTTATATCGATTTATTTTCCAAAATCTTTAAATATTTTGACATTTTGTTTTTCGATATATATCCAGGACTACATAAGGTCGGCCAAGTAGACTACTTTTGCCAACGATTTGACAATAAACTTAGTAGTTTTTGCACTACTGCGATTTGATTCTCTTTGAATTTCAAATCACAATATTTCTTTTGACGGTAAACTTGTTTGTCAGATGGGCTTACTGGCCGACCCTATGTAGGCCACGATCTCTATTGAAGTTTTTTTTTTTTAATGTGATTAACGCGTCCTGCTATTAATGGGCCTTTTTATAGACCAAAATGTAAAAAAAAAATATCTTATCCACTCTGCGCTCTATTCTTATGAAAATCCACTGAAATACCACGTCTCAGAACAGACATGACTCTACCAGACATGACATCGCAGATAAAGGCCATCTCGGCTTGCCGTTCATTAAATGAAAACACATACACCAATACTTTATTTAATCTAAACAATTAATATTAACTTTATTTAAATATTTACATTTAAATACGTTACAAATATATCATATCCTTAAAATTAGGCATATAAAAGCTTTTTCTTCGACGACAACGATGACGCTACGAACATGGAATAATAAAAAAGGCCAATATTTTTTTTTTTACAATTGAAATTCGTTTCAAATTTCCTATATCTCTTCTACTTCTCTTAAACTCTAACAGCATGCATACAAAAAATGCAAAATTTCAATTCAAAACAAATACACCGTAAATTTTTCAAGACTTGTTACATTTCATGCATTTGTGTGAGAGTGTTTTTTTTAGGTTGGGGTTAATGGGAATGCTATAATAAAATAATGACAAATAAAATCAACCCACCGAGGAAGGCAATGTCCTAAGTACAATACACAAATATTGAGCATTTCTAAAAGCTAATTTGAAATTAAAAGTTAAAGAAGAAAATAGATGGCAATACAATTGAAGGGAGTAGTCAATAATGGATGTTGAGATTTCTTCAAAAAGAAGCATAAAATCTAGAGTTAAGCTTAATTCAAAATCCTAATAAATATAATGCAGTTCTGTTTTAGGTGTGTGTGTGTGGAAATTTTTAAATAAAAACTACGATTTCCAATTTGATATGGGATACGGTTACAGTAGCAGTATACATTTAGGGACAGTGGGCATTGGGTCCGACATTATTTCGACATTTCATTAAAAGATTCACCATTCCCTCCAATTTCATTGTGCGCGATTCAGTGTTGTATAGATTCGTTTGTAAACGATGAAAGTCCATTTGTTGTTTTTCCTAAAATTGTTTGTGGAAATATACATGTATTAGAAATGTTTTATGAAATCAATCGGGTTTTGCATTTTTATCTCACCAAATTGATTAAACGATTCTTGAGAGAATCGACCATTGAATATGTGGACTGTAAGGTTTTTTGCAATTCATTCGATTGCACTTTTTCATTGGCCAATTGTTTTTCGATTTTCTGCAATCTGGCTGTTATATCTTCCTGTGGCTCAATTTCATTCTCCAAGTCTCTGGCTTCAAATGCATCATCCTTGTGTACATCTAGGGTAGTCCAAAAAACCATTATTCAAATACATTTGTGGCTAGATACAAAGTGTTGACAATGCTCACCATTTTTCTTACAACTCTGCTGATCGGCCAGCAAGGTGAAGCCATCCCGACATTGGCAATAATATGAGCCCACTGTGTTGATACACGTCTGATCGCAGGGTTTCTCCTCTTTACATTCATCGATGTCAATTTCACAATAACGTCCTGTAAAACCAGCCGGACAACTGCAGGAATCATGACCCGTACATGTGCCTCCATTTTGACAGCGAGCAGTACAGACGGCTAAAAGAGTTTGAAAATTAAATATTGAAAACTAATTACGTAAGTAAATGTGACGTATATTTTAAAATAATTAAATAGCCTAAGTGGAAACTGGGTTTGATATTCTCCATTTGTAGAATTTATTGTGAACATTATTAAATATAATAATTTCCATAGAACTCCGTCATACTATTTCCTCGTAGTTGCCGACATTAACTTTTTTTTGCATTGGATTGTAACAGTTGGCTGTTTGGTTCAGTGACCGTCAAATTCAAGGCTACGCAGGCAGCTAGCCAATAGCTACCCTGTAGAAAAGCTGGTGTTATGAGTCACCGCTTTTGTCAACTGTTGATGAGACATTTGAAGCCGCAAGAATCTACTAGTTTTCCATTTGTGTACCCTCCACCGTTTGTAACACCCCGAAATATACATTTTAGACCCCACAAAGGTGTCGATTATAAAATTCCATGGAAATCACTCTAACTTTCGAACGAATTGAAGTAGGTTGATAAAATTTTATTCAAATGTATATTATGTCAGCAGGATTTTGGTATTGAAAATGGGCCATGTAGGTCCACGTTTGGTATAGCCTCCTTATAATGGTACCTCTCTATTTTCGGTATTTTGGTGAGTTAAGCGATATTATTCACGGGAATTGTTTCAAGTTTGGTATTTGAAGTTCGTAATGGATACTACAACCTATGACAGAAAATTGTCTGTGCAGGTCTACGTCTTCCTATAGCCCCCATATAACGGCAAATTCCGATATTCGTATTATTATGATTTTAGCGACATTATTCACCCGAATTGTTTCAAATTTCGTATTTGAAGATCTTAAAGGATACTACAGCCTAAGACAGAAAATTGTCTGTACAGGTCCACGTCTTCGTATATCCCTCATATTACGGTAAGTCCCGATATTCGGTATTTTAAAGATTTTAGCGACAATATTCAATGGAATTGTTTCAAATTTCGTATTCGAAGTTTGTAATGAGTACTACAGCCTAAGACAGAAAATTGTCTGTGCAGGTCCACCTATAGGTCTTCGTATAGCCCTCATATTACGCCCTCATATTTTATTTTAGCTACATTATTCACCTGAATTGTTTTAAGTTTCGTATTCGAAAGTAATGGGTCTATGAAAAAAATCGTAAGCAGTCCTACGTCTTCGTATAGCGCCCATATAACGGTATCTTCCTTTTCTCGGTATTTTGACGATTTTAGCGACATTGTTCGCCGGAATTGTTTCAAATTTCGTATTTGAAAATCTTAATGGATACTACAGCCTATGACAAAAAATTACTTATTCGGGTCCTCGTTTTCGTATAGCCTCGGCAAGGCCGAATTTTGGAATTTCATCAACTTCTGAAAAATACCGTTGTTGAAATTCCTTTCCAAATGGTGAAGAGCATTCAAATTTCGGCCTTGCCGAACTTAGCTACTTTTTCATACCCTCCACCTTGAAAAAGGGGGTATATTAACTTTGTCATTTCGTTTGTAACATCCCTAAATATGTGTCGTTGACCCCATAAAGTATATATATTCACTAGCTGTACCCGGTGCGCTTCGCTACCCCTTTTGGTTTTATATGCATTCAAATTTTTATTTACGAATATATGTTGGTTAAAAAAAAACAAATTTAAAAATTAAAAAAAAATTATTGCACGACTTCAAGCGTAAATAACCAAAACCATTAGAAAAGCAGTAACATGACATACATACACGAAATGTTTGTCCTTCGGATTTATTTATTTCATAGCAAATACCAAGCGTGCAGTAAACTGCAATCTTTTGAAGTTGAGTGGCATTTCTATTGCAATTAGTGAATTCGAGATAGCAACATACTTCGCCGTAATAAGTGTATTTCAAATCAATTGTTGTGTTGTTTTTTAGTGTTAGCCTAAGGCGTTGTGGGTCAATGGTTCTTATTAAAATCATATCCCAATCTGATCCGATTTAAATATAATTTTAAAAAATTACTTTTACACCAAATTCCGCCACACCTTTCATATTTCATTGAAATTGGTGCGTCAAATATGTGAAGTCGGCCGATAATATATATATGGGAGCTATATCCAAATCTTAACTAATTTTACACATACATTTATTATTGTAACCAAATTCCGCCACACATTCTGAACTTCATTGGTATCGGTCATATATATCATGTGTGGTGATTTCAATATAATTTGGCAATTTTTTCTTGTGCCAGATTTTGTCTCTCTCGCTTTGGGTGCATCAAATATGTGAAATCGGCTGAGTATATATATGGGAGCTATAATCAAATCTGAGCGTATTTGAATATAATTTGTCAAATTTATTTTTGTACCAAATTTAGCCACTCATGCCGAATTTCATTGGAATCGGAAATACGTATCGTGTTTGGTGCATCAAATATGTGAAATCGGCGGAAAATATATATGGGAGCTATATCCAAATCTGAACCGATTTTAATATAATTTGACTAATTTATTTTCTAATCAAAATCCCGTTACATATTCCAAATTTCTTTGGAATCGAACATACATATCGTGCATAAAATACATGAAATCGGTCGAATATATATATATATATATATATATATGAGAGCTATATCCAAATCTGAACCGATTTTCATATAATTTGACAAATGTATATTTGTTTTAATTTCCGCTACACATTCCAAATTTCATTGAAATTAGAGATACATTGCGTGTTTGGTGCATCAAATACATGAAATCGGTCGAAAATATATATGGGAGCTATATCCAAATCTGAACCGATTTTAATATAATTTGACAAATGTATATTTGTTTTAATTTCCGCTACACATTCCAAATTTCATTGAAATTAGAGATACATAGCGTGTTTGGTGCATCAAATACATGAAATCGGTCGAAAATATATATGGGAGCTATATCCAAATCTGAACCGATTTCAATTTAGTTTGACAAACTCATTTTGGTTCCCAATTCCGTTACTTATTTTAAATTTCATTACAATTGCAAATACATGTCGTGTTTGGTCCACCAAATACATGAAATCGGCCGAAAATGTATATGGGAGCTATATCCAAATCTGAACCGATTTCAATATAATTTGGGAAATCAATTTTTTAGATAAAATCTATCACACGTTTCAAATTTCATTGAAATTGGGGATACATAGCGTGTTTGGTGCATCAAATGCTTGAAATCGGCCGAAAATATATATGGGAGCTATATCCAAATCTGAACCGATTTCAATATAATTTGACAAATTTATTTTCGGATTAAATCCCGTCACACATTCCAAATTTCATTGGAATCGAACATTCATATTGTGTTTGAGGCATCAAATGAACGAAATCGGTCGAAAATATATATGGGAGCTATATTCAAATCTGAACCGATTACAATATAATTTGGCAAACTTATTTTTGTTCCAAATTCCGTTACGTATTCCAAATTTAGAGACTGTATCTTCAACCAATCAATAGATATGTGCATATAAAATCTAAATTTTTGGGAGGTACCTCCGATTCTGGTGCTATATCTCCAGTTCCAAGTGGAAATTCAAAAATGTATATAGCCTATGTTACTTTCAGGCGATGTTGCCGTATATATGGAAATTTTCAGGAAAATCTATTCAGCGGTTTTCGAGTCCATAAATTACAAACAAACAAACAAACAAACAAACAAACAAACATACAAACATTTTCCTCTTTTATAGATATAGATAATCTGCATAAAAGTCGATTAAAATAAGTCTGTCTGTCTGTTGAAATCACGATACAGCCCACATTATTTGATGTAGAGCTTAAAAATTTGGCAAAACAATTTGTATAGTGTTTAGGATGGTTGAGATTGAAAATGAGACATATCTGTCCACGTTTTGGCATAGTCCCTATGTATGGGTACCTCCCGATTTTCGGTATTTTAATGATTTTTGTCACATTTTCCCAAGCATTTGTCTAAAAATTGGCATTTGTAGTTTGTAATGAATTCTAGCTTCGGTGGCGGAACATTGTATTGGCCTAGCCCCCATATAACGGTACCTCCCATTATTCGGAATTTTGATGGTTTTTCCCACATTTTGCTACGGATTTGTCTAAAAAATGGCATTTGTTGGTCATAAACGGTTCTAGCTCCGGTGGCGAAGAAATGTATGTATGTTTTAGTAATGCCCCCATATAACCGTACCTCCCAAATATTCGGTATTTTCATGATTTTTGCCAAAAATTTTCCACTGATTTGTCTAAAAATTGGTATTTGTTGGTCATAAAGGGTTCTAGTCCGGTGGCGAAAAATTGTATGTAGAGGTCCATGTTTTGGTATAGCCCCCATATAACGGTACCTCCCGTTATTCGGTATTTTCATGATTTTTCCAATGTATTTGTCCAAAAATTGGTATTTACAATTTATAATGGGTTATAGCCTGGTGGCAGAGCATTGAATATTTAGTTCCACGCTTTCCTATAACGCACATATAACGATACCCACCGATATTCGGTATTTTGATAATCCTAGACACATTATTCTAGTCACATAATTGTTTCAAATTTGGTATTTTAGAAGATTTGGTAGATGAAAAGCATAAAATTTTCTATAGAGATTCCCGTTTTGGTATGGCCTCATATAACGGCCTCAGTCACTTTGTTTTTTTTTAGGTTTTTTCCTTTAACCTAAGGTGGTGGGTATTAAAAGTGGGGACCGGCCGAATTTAATGTTTTTTACTTGTTTTTATTTATTTAGTTAAGAAATTGAATTCATTAATTAACTATCAATAAATGCATTTTTAATATAAAAAACTATGGTGGATACTTGTGACGGCGACTCACTGCTTGTTAATGTGATTGAATTAAACTCATTGTAATATTTAAGCTTTGCAAATGTCCTAGTCGACGAGACATGCATTTCAAGTTATGTTGGCTGAGTTTAGTCTTGCCTGTTGTGAAGGTCCAGGCCACGTCTGTTGTCTCCTGCCTGTTACCTTTTTTTACTTACGTTTCATACAGCCATCCGCATGCGGTGATTCACGCATCCAACCAGTACAGCAATCGTAAATGACCTGTTGAGCTGATTTGTGACGTATGACATCGCGATAGGCCTGTTCGTGCACCAACTGGACGCGTGTACACATTTGATTTGCATGCGTTTGCGGTTGACACGGCGTACTCACATGTTTCCAAATTGGTCGGCTGTAGACCTCTGTTGTCTTGACGGGCATTGTTATGGTGCGTTGTTGCACGCAAATGTGACGTCTGAAATGGAAATTATATAATTTCGTCATTAATGTTGTATACGGAGAGTATTGCTTGTTAAACAGCAAAAAAAAAAAAAATATTTATGTTTTAATTATTTTCAAGCATTTTCGCGTTGCACAAATAATTAGTACACGTCGAAGGGAACGTACATGAACATAACGGGCAAAGAGATTGTGAATTTCTCTTTTGAAAAAAAGGATAATAATAAAAGCATATATTCCAAATGTATACTATTGTGTCAATAAAACAAGTAATATGGTATCAGTCGGTTTTGCCGACAGATGTATACTCCTAGTCTTGAGTTATGATTATTCAAACTCTTGACACCTTATGGGGAGGCTCCGAAGTTGGTCAATATTGACCTAAGACTGACCAGATTTGGACTATATCGACTACTTCCTATACCTTATCTGAGATATGTGCAATTTTTTGGAAAATGTGGAAATATGCTACCATAAGAAATGGTCCGATCTCTACCATCTTTATAACAGATATTGTGTTGATTGAATTGTACCTAGTCTGAATGGAATCACATTTTATAATAGTTATAATTATTCAAAAATTTTACGCTCTTTGGGGAGGACTGGATAAAGTTGACCGATGACTGGATAAAGTTGATTGGATAAAGTTGACCAATTTTCGCACCTGACCTGGCACTGATGCAATATTACGATTTGCAAAGTTAGAGCAAACTCGGAGTATCCCATCTCTTTCTGCGCAGTAAACTATTTTCTTTGAATATGTTGACTTTTTTGGGGAGGTGCCAGAAGATGAGGACCGATATTGCCCATCGCCGAACTCGATCGAAGTTTGATAATAATATTACAATGTACCAAGTTTGGATCAAATGGGATACTCCCTTCGAGAGTTATCATACACACCAGACAGCTAGACAGACGGACGGACATCGCTAGATCGACTCCAAATGTCGTGAAACGGATTTGGTCCAAAGGGACCTAGGGTCTAAAACCGTTATTTCAAAGAGGCACGTTTTGGCCGTGTCAAATGATATATACCCTCTCTAGCCATATGGCTGAGAGTATAAAAATGAAACAACTAGCATCCGATTCAGATGAGTCCATTAGTATTACATTGTGACATAAAATCGATATTAGAATTAAAGCAAGGTTAGGCAAAGAGTATCCCTTGGGATATCTGTGTGTTCACCAACACAATTGTAAAAAATAAATTGTTTTGAATTTTCTGTCAAAATGGTTTTGGGAGAATATTTAGTTTTGTTCGAGCAGTCGATGTACAAAATACTTTGTACATACTTTTGAGTGCGGTTGAGGCGCTGGGAAAATCTAGCAATAATCAATAAATATTCTAAAATTATATATTTCCCAGCCGCCATAAAACACCACAGTGAACAATTCGGTGATCTTGTGCGCTGACGCATACGATAATGTGTGAGATAATAAAGGCTATGACCCACACGCACAGATATCAATGCGCTCCGTAGATGCACAAGACCACTTGAATGAAATGACAAACAGCCCTGCAATGTTCTCCATTCAGTATTAGAATAGATAAGAATAATTGTGCGGCTGCGATTAGGTTAAGTTAGATTAGTTTCAGTAGTACGTAAGGAAAATATTTTCATAATAAAATTAGAATTGAAACTACATCCAAAGAATAAGGTTGTTCTTTCTTTTCTCATTTTCCACATTTGGTTCTTCAGGCCGGATAGAGAATTGAAATAGCAACCAAACCATTCGGTCGTGTTTCTTTTCTCACTAAATATTGCTCCAGTCGAGACGAAAACGGAATAGAGTTGACAATCGAAGAGGGAGATTGGACCCTATTCTTATCATTAAAAACATTGATCCTCCGAGCAGGATCCAAAACAGAATTGAATTAACAGCCTAACCGTTCGGTAGGTTTTCTCTTCTCAGTCGATGAGGAAGGTGCTGTCGGACATTTTTATGAATACACCGTAAGAAATATTGGAACACATAAATATATCTTTCTACATATTTGAAACAAGTATTTCCGAAATATAACAGGTTGTGTTGTTTGTCATTCTGCTGGTGATTCATAGAAATAATCTTTTAGGACCCAACACAGGATATGAGTTTTTGATCAGAGTAAAATTCTACGACTATTTGCATATGTCTGTATATCAGCCTGTGGTAATCGGTATTACTTTTTAAAGGGTCAACTTTGATGGTTATTAAACACAAATAACATCAAAACATCTATTTGACAAAATTAACTTATATATTTTTGAAGGACATTTATATTATTTTTTATACCCTCAACCGTAATATGGAGGGTATATTAAGTTTTTCGTTCCGTTTGTAACACCTCGAAATATACATATTAGACCCCACAAAGTATATATAATCATTATAAACACAAAATTCTATTTCAATTTAGCGATGTCCGTCCGTCTGTGGAAATCGCTCTAGCATCCGAACGAAATGAAGTAGATTAATAAAATTTTGCTGAAACGTATATTATGTCTGCAGGACTTTTGGCATTCAAAATGAGCCATGTAGGTCCACGTTTTGGTCTTGCACCCACATAATGGTACCTCCCGATAATCGGTATTTTGATGATTTTAGTTACATTTTATTCGAATATTGTAATGGTTTATGATTTATTATGATTCGGTATTTTTAAGATTTTAACAGAATTTTTAACGAATTTTATTTTTTCGAAAATTGCCAAATTCGTTCCAGATGGTAGAGGTATTCAAAGTTCTGCCAGGCTGAACTTATAGCTCTTTTACTTGTTTTATATTAAAATTAATCATAATTGAAATAATTATGCAAATATATCTTTGAATTGTCTAATCAAAATATTAATTTTTAGCAACAAAGTTGTTTTGAAAACAGAAAATTTTAAATTGAATATTTAAAGATAACCAATTATTTCTCACTCTGTAAAGAGAGGTAAAAAACACTTGCAATATTTTGTTATTTCAAAACACATACAATCACAAAAAATTTTTGAGACTCTCTGCCTTGCCCTGAATTAAAGCATAAAACAAAATATAATAGGTGTGTCTGGTTACTTTCTTGGAATTTTCTAGCAACTTTTTTCTGAGATAGTAGTTTTAGTTTTATTCTCTTTTATTAAACAGACACAATCCCAGACGTGGACCGATGTAGCTCATCTTCAAACCTCACCTGCCTGTTACAGACCACTACCACTGAGACCCATTCAAAGTTCGCTTACAATGTTGGTGGAGTTGGACCCATGGAACCTTTGCTAACAATATCGCTTTGATTCGCGTTAGCCGGTGTGGGATATACATAGAGGAGAAAATTTCAAGTCCCGGGCAAAGGCCGTCTATTTACAAAAATTGTCAATTTCAGAAAACTTTAGTTCGCATTAGCCGGTGTAGAACATACCCAGAGGAGAAAATCTCAAGCCCCGGCTGAAGGCCGGCTATTTCCAAAAAGTGTCAAATTTAGAAAACTTTTGTAATTCCAAAGACGGCTACGCGAAATAAACTTCTTTAGTGAAAACACAATTTTAATGATCTGGTTAGAATCGGGTTATGCGGATAAAAAGACCCATATCTCTGGATCCGAAAAATGTATTAGCACAAATTGTAGCATTGTAGGTAAGAGTGTCAGCTATAATTCAATTTCAATTTTGTTGACCCCCATAAGGGACCCTTTTTTGACTTTTTGGGGGTTTTTTTAAAGATCCGGGTCCAAAAAAATCGATAATTTGACTATAACTTCAGAACCATGACCACTTGTTGGATAGATATTTTCAAGCTTTCAAACGATGCCTATATTGTCTATATCGGGTAAGTGGATCCGGGTCCAGGCTGAGTCTTGTACCCGGATTTTCGGGTCAAAAATCTGGGGTCCCGGATCCGTCCACCAAGAAAAAAATAGTTTCCCGGTATCAGGGAAAATTACCTACCTCTGGAAAAAAAATTTCGAAAAAAATCGAAGAGTTTTTACTATACTAGAGTTGTTCCGTGTTGTTTGGTTGTCTTTTACTGGTATTTAATGTGTTGCATTGTTGCTGACAGACATAGACATTGCTTGTTTTAATGGCAAAACAAATAATTAAACTCAACTTTTATTCCGACCAAGTTCTCTTTGTTTGAAAATTTTTGAAGAGCGCCACAACGAACAGCAACAAACAAACTCGTGTAGCATTACAATCTCCGTTCAAATATTTTATTTTGTTGTCGCTCTTGTTTTTTTTTTTTCGCTGACACAACCGCGTCATACAGTGTTGCCAGTGTGTATTTGTCTCTCGTCCCCAAATTCCAAAAATGTTTTCCCCAAATCTCTTCAAATTCAATTGATTTAAAAAAAAAGAAAAAACCAATAAGGAAAAGTCAAAAGCAGGGCGGGGTCGACGATACGATACCCTACACCACTATGCATTTTTAATAGAGCTCCCGTGACAAACCTATTAACTTTTGGCTTTAGAGAAGTTATTATTTGGCTTCAGAGGGAACTAATATATGGGAGGAATATCCACTCATTTTCCCTAAATTTGAAGGAAACATTTAATCTTTTATACAAAATAACATTGCTATAGAGTGCATAGTATCACTTCGAGAAGGATTATCATGAAAAAATATATATCAGGGCCGAGTTCCTCAAAATGGAAACGTACGTCCAGAAATTCACTCTATTTTGGCTGATATTAGCCAATACTTGCACAATAAACCTGAAAGAGGATGAGGGATATACAGGGTGAGATGAAAAAACTGCTACCAACTTCAGACTGCTGACATTTCTAAGCCATTCGTCCGACAGCTGTTAAAATTATTCCAGTGACTGCTCATTATATTGTTTACAAGCGTGCAAAAGTATTTTGGTGAGAATTTTCCAGAAAAAAAAAGTTATTCGTGATGTAATCCAAGCGTGATTTCTTTATGTTTGGCAGTGTCCGAAAAATGGCTCGTGAGTTGAACATATCGCATTATTCTAAAAATTGGGCAAATATTGAAAAATGAGCTCGGGGTAAAGCCATTGAAATTCCAAAAAGTGCAAGAACTTACACCGCAACAGAAA